GCACACAGATCTAGACAAGCACCCCACAGCACAGGTGTGGCCCAGGGACTGGGCTTTGGGACGGAGAGCAAGAACGTGTTTGGTGAGACACATCCAGGCTGAGCCTGGAAAAATCTTCCACAGACTGTCTTCTATGATGCTTCTAATGTCACTTACTGGATGTTATTGTAGTCCTTTTGTCATTGCATGTTGCAGGTATCAGAGCCGTGGGATGGAGAAGTCTTAACAGCTCAGTTAAAAAGCGCTGGAGGAGCATTTCCTGCTGAGCAGGAATGTCTGTTCGAAAAGTTTCCTTCATCACACGTCATGTTCTAGTATGCAGAAAACACTGCACAATTTGCATTTGATACTGATTATCATAACTGAAGCAGAGCTTCTATTAATCAAAGTTTGGTAGGTTTAATTTTGGCAGGTAGAAGGGGTTGGACCCTCGGATTTTGCCCTGAGGTAAATTTTGTAACAGACTCTCACAACAAAAACAAGCCCAGGCTGGGATCCAACTTACTATCTTCCTGACTCAATCTCCCAGAGCTGGAATGGCATGCATAAATTAGTGTAAATATTTGGTGTTTCTATTGAATGCCACATAATTTTAAGTGACACAGGTGTGACCAGAATCAATTGCAGTGCTAAATGTGGGGCAGTTTAAAATGGGTAGTAGATGTTTACATTCATGATGTAGGTGTTCAAGTTAGTTCAGTGAAAGCGGGAGCATTATGTGTCCAGTTCATTATTATATATTCTTTAAAGTCCGTATATAAGATAAGATATGGAAAATAAAATTATTTTGAATGTCCTGCTAAAAATAGTAATTCTGATAAATTGCATTTAGTGTTGCTCTTTTTTTTTTTAACTTTTACATAGTACTGCAAACTGCAAAGCAACCAAGGTTAGATGAGAGCAGAATAATGAATTGATCAGAAAGGTTGAATTTCTTTCTTTCTTTCTTTCTTTCTTTTTTTTTTTTTTTTTTTTTTTTGAACCGGGGATTGAACTCAGGCCCTTGCGCTAGCAAGGGAAGTGCTTTCTCCACTGAGCCATCTCCCCAGCCCCTTAAATTTCATTATAAAGCATGAATTGCAGTGGTAGAAAAAGACAAACTTGTTTGAAAATAAGGAAAAGAAAGTGAGAGTTGAGGTTGGAGAATTACTGTGCAGGTGGGAATGTACAGTTGGACATACAGCAGCAGGACTGGAAAAGGAGAGATGAATCCAGACTTGAGAGGAATCAAGGAGACTCAGCTATTCCTTGAAATCTAAAGAATGAGAAAGAAGCATATATATATATTTTGGATGTCAGGCTTGAGCAAATGATGCAATGAAGCCGCTCCTCAGGCAGATGAGACAGGAAAAGGAGGAGGAGGGCAGATTCGCAAGTGCAGCTCCAGGAGATTGCAGTGAAGGTGTCTCCGGGAGGCCTGAGGGAACATGTTCGCTAGGCCCTTGAGGAGTAAAGCCTGGCACTCAAAAGATAAATTAGGATTTGAGACACAGGGTCTGAATTGTTTATTTTTGGTATGGATAGTGATGCAAGAACAGTTTCTGGTAAAACAGACTAAATGCAGGAGAGAACAAATACCTAATATCAACCCATGAAAATGACTACTTAGCCCCCTCTTCCTGGCTTCACCCTTGTAAGAAAATGACTATAAATGGAGGAAGCTTCAGGGATTTCTCTTCTTTGAACTTAGTTACCTGAGTTAGAGGGGATCACTTCTCGGAAATTCTGTGTACTACAGTCATTTCCTGCTTGTGGACCTGCAGAGAGATATAAGACAATGAA